CGCCTGGGCCGCGTGTCTCCAGGGGACCGTGCTGCTCGGTGTGCTGTGCTGTTTGCGGTCCTGCGCCCCCCCTCCCCCCCGCAGGTGTGTGCAGCGCCCGCCCTGGCTCCTTGGCGAGCTCAGCACACAGAACGTGCGAGCAAAGCCCCTCTTCCATGTTAGAGCCCACGCCCACGTCCACTCGCATCAGGCCTGGAGGCCTGTGGTTTTGTTTGTTAATCCTCATCCGAGAATATTTTCCCATTGATTTTTTTTTAGAGATAGTGGAAGGGAGGGGGAGAGACACACAGAGAGAGAAACATGGACGAGAGAGAGACACATTGATTGGTTGCCTCCCCATGTGCCCTGACCAGGGCAGCCGGTACGTGCCCTTGACCGGAATCGAGCTGAGACCCTTCAGTCCGAGGGCTGACACTATCCACTGCACCACACCGGCCGGGGCTAAAGGCCCCGCTTTGAGACAACGGAGAATCGCATGGAAAATGCCACATTTTATCACCGCTTTGCAGGGTGGGGAACCTTTTCCTGCCAAGGGCGTTTGGATATTTGTAACATCACTCCCGGGCCATACACAATTATCCACTTAACACTTAGCCTGCGTATTCGGTCAAACATTTAATTAACTCGCCCCGATGCCTTGGCAGGGCCAGACCACATGATCCCAAGGACCTTCTACGGCCCGCGGGCCGGACGTTCCCCACCCTGCTGTAGAGCTTTGTACTTTAGGGCAAAGTCAGAGTTCACCGCCCACCACGAGCTGGGGGAGCAGGAGTCCACTCCCCATCATGACCGACACAGGAGCTCAGGCGCTGAGGAATGACCAGGGGACTGAGTTTCAGGGGCAGGAGTGGCCCTGGGAATCAGGAGTTTCTAGCAAAGACTCTGCCCCAGGCGAGGCACCTGCTCCCTGTGCAGCCAGGTGACTGTGGACCCTGCCCGGGCACTGCAAGCATCGAGCTCAGGGCGGCCCAGGCCTCCTCGGGCGATTGAGTGAGGGGCCCCGTCCTCTGGCCACGGCCTCAGCTCGTCTATCCCTGAGCCTGGGAGTCAGCGGATCAAGCTGCAGGCGACCCCATTCAGCCCTTGGTCCTTATAAGTCACTCAACAATACGCCTTTGCTGTGCTGGCCCCTCAGCCCGGTTTTCATCCTATAGGCTCGGCAGCAGGACAGGGTCAGAGGTCATGCAGCCCCGAGCCGCCAATGCCCACCCTGCCCCCTCCCCTCCAGCGTTGGAATGTGGGTGAGGGTGCCCCGTGCAGATGGCCAAGGAACATGACTGTGGAAAGCCCGGGCCCTCTGCGCTCTGAGCTCCGGAGGAACAGGAGGGTTTGCCCCACAGCGGCAAGGCCTGGGCCGCACACAGCCAGGGAGGGAGACACCGTTTTCCAGACGAGTAATGGGAGGGTCAGAGAGGAGTGACTCGCCCAACGCCCCACAGCTAGTGAGGCTGCCAGGCTCCTGGTCTACTTTTCCCAGAATTCATCCACCCACCCACCCGTCCATCCACCCACCCATCCATCCATCCACCCACCAAATTTCCCCTCTAGACAGAGTCCTGACAAACAGAGCCCGCTCTCATCCAACTTTGAACCCCCTTAACCGCAGGATGTAGTACAGTGTTCAATATCCACCCACCCACCCATCCATCCATCCATCCATCCATCCATCCATCCATCCAACCATCCATCCACCTACCCACTCATCCATCCATCTGTCCATCCATCCATCCATCCACCTACCCACCCATCCATCCATCCATCCATCCACCCACCCACCCATCCATCTGTCCATCCATCTGTCTGTCTGTCCATTCGTCCATTCATCCATCAATCCATCCACCCACCCATCCACTTGTCCATCCAACCATCCATGCATTTACCCATCCATCCATCCAACCATCTATCCACCCATCCATCTACTTACCCACCCATCCACCTGTTCATCCATCCATTCCTTCATCTACCTACCCATCCATCTGCCCATCCATCTGCTCATCTATCCATCTGTCCACCTGTTCATCCATCCATTTATCTGCCTATACACCCATCCACCTACCCACTCATTCTCCCTTCTCCTTCCTCCCTCCCTCCTTCCCTTCCTCCCTCCCTCCCTCCCTCCATCTATCTTTCCCATCACTCACTGGCCGTCCGCCTGCCCACTAAGCACCAATGCACACACTAACTTATTACACAAACTACAGCACGCTGTCTGTGAAATTTGTGCAGACGGTGGTACCGTATGTCATTAACTAATATCCTAATTCGTCATGCTGCTAATTAGACTAGACATAAGAAATGAGCTCAACAAGAGTGATGACCTCAGCGAGCCCTCATTAGCCATGGAGATACTGAGGCCAAAACAAGTATAAGTGGGCCCCAGGACTTGGGCCCCCACCCCCCCCCAAGGGGCCCTCGGGCTGAGGCGGCCCCGTGTCCCCCAGTGGAGCCCGAGCTGAAGCTCATCGGCAACATCCACGGCAACGAGGTGGCGGGCCGGGAGATGCTCATATACCTGGCGCAGTACCTGTGCTCCGAGTACCTGCTGGGCAGCGCCCGCGTCC